GCTGACCCTAATTGCTCATCTCTGTCCTTGCCTTTCAGTTGAGGCACAGGACTGAAGGACTTTCCCCCTTTCATGGAAGCAATGTGCATAGCAGCCAGGCTGGGCTTCAGCTCCATTGCCCTGCTGTCAGGCTCCAGTCCATTTCCCACCCATTATCTCTTAGGACTCCACACTGACCCCTCTACCTCTACTCCTCACCTGTAGCTTCTCCTCACCTGTAGCTTCTCCTCACCTGTAGCTCCCATGCTGCCCAAGCCCAGCAAGCTAGACTAGGCTTCCTTGAAGGCAGATCTCACTTGGAGCTTCCAAACACAGCTGTGTATGGGCTCCCTGTCCCATGCACCCAGGTGAGCAGTGTTGCATTTATTAGCTCTGCACCACCTGAATTGCCAGGCCAGCTCCTCTGCCTGTACAGGGTTAATGTTAGCTGGGCTCCAGAGCTGCTCTAGGGCTGACAGAAGACTCTCAGCTTGCCTTGCATGGAAGTTTGAAAGAAGAGTACTTTAGGCAGAGGGAGTAATATGACCAAGTGAATTGTAACATTGAAGTGAGAGATATGATATGGTGGTACAGATATGTTGGGATATGGCCCAGTTTGTAGCTGGTGGCATGACACCATTTCCCTTGGTGCCTATAGCATCCCCAAGATGATTTACTGCCTCTAGTGATATTGCCATGTAGGCTCCAGATAGATCTGTTCCCTTCAGTCCCTGTTAGAGGCTGTCCCTTTTGTGCCTCTCATGACCTAACTAAGACTGTACTCCTCACCCCAATACTTCACCCCTCCACTGACTGCTCTGTCCCTCCAGGTCCACAGCAAGGACAAGAAGTACGTGTGCAAAGTGTGCAGCCGTGTGTTCATGTCTGCAGCCAGCGTGGGCATTAAGCACGGCTCTCGTCGCCATGGTGTATGTGCAGACTGTGCTGGTCGGGGTGTGGGCACACCACTGGACCATGGTGGAGGTGGTGAGGGCTCCCCTGAGGCACTGTTTGCTGGTGAAGGGCCATACCTGGAGGACCCGGATGATCCACGAGGGGAAGTTGAGGAGGAGCTGGGTGAGGATGAGGATGAGGATGTGGCCAAATGGAAGGACGACGTGGGTTTGGCACATGAGGATGCACTGCTGGGGGATGACAAGGATGATGAGGACTCTCCACAGGGGCCTCACAGCCCCTCTGGGGAGCCTGATAAGGACTTTGCCTGGATCTCCTAGGGGCTCTGCTCTAGTGGGCAGGGTGAGTGGTGGCTGAATCGCTTTGTCCACCTGTTTGTGTGTCTTAGTGGATCTTTACTTACCCAGGAGCAGGGCTATGCTTACTCCTTGAAGCTCTTCCCTACAGGCCCTCCTCTGTGCTATACCCCTCCCCATTGCTCTGGTCCTGTGAGCTAAAGATTGGGTGTGACTCCAGTGACTGGCGAGCACTAGGACTGAACACAAAGTGAGGGGTACAGTGTGGGTTTAAGAAAAGGGAGAATGCATGCTCCCACCTGTCCAGGTATTAATGGAATCCCCAGCAGGTGTCTAGATGTATGGGCAGGGCTGCACCGAGGCCTGGACATGCTTCCTCAGGGTATCAAAGGAGCCCTTTGCTGTGAACCTGGCTAGGGATGCAAGATGATTCAGTGTACAGGTCAGGGTCAGCACTGGTTACAGTCATGTGGGCAGTCCTCCAGACTGCAGGCCTGAGTAGGTGTTGAGTTTTGCATAAACACAAACTGCTCCATCCACAGCACTGCTCAATCTCCTTCTATCCCCCCTCCCTAAGCAGTCAGGTTATGGGCTATGGCCCTGTGTCACTCTGTCCTCTTGGTTTCTGCTGCCCCATGGCAGCTGGTGGAACCTAGTGGGCAAAAAGTCCTGCAACCCTCTTACCTCCAGGCTTTGGTGCTTAACACAAAATGGCTGCAGATGCCTCTCTGGAAGCCCCAGGCTCCAGGTGCTATCTCTGTGGGAAGCAGCTACCTAACTGGCAGGCGGAGGAGGAATGCTGTCTGTTCAAGAGGGGACCTGTGGCGGGATACTTTCCACTTCAGGGTCACAGGGTTGAGTTGCAAAGGCCACAGCTCTTTGTTCTGTGTGCACTTTCTTGGAGAGCCCCATTGTGCATCCTGAGTTCTGCCTGTGCTTTTGCTGATCCCTCCTTGGACCAGATAGAGCTCAGCTCTTGCCTTTGTTGCTGCTAACACTGGAGGTGGGCGTTCCTAGCTGCAGTGTGCTGCTATGCCTCTCTGCCTAGGAACCAAATTTTAAAGAAGTCAGAGACATTTTGAGGTGGTTACTATAGATTACTTTGTTTCAAATTGTTTTTCTTACTCGATAGGACTCTACAGGAGTGGTTTCCTTTAACTCTTCGCCAAGTCCTCTTGCTGTATTTCTGAAGGCTCTCACACTTGTTCTGCGAAGTGTGGGCTTCATTTCCATGGCTCTGAGGCCCAGAGAGACAGCTGTCCGTTTACTGGCAGGATAGACATAGATACTGCAGTTTGTCCTCCTCTTGAGGCTGTTTCTGACAAACTATCAAGACATTCCATCCCTTACCCACCTCCTGAAGGCCCACTGCAGTGGTGTTCAGTGAGCACTCTGGTGAGTGCTGGTGGGCTAACCTCACCCTGTGCAAGGGCTCATAAGGCCACTAAGCATTATGGCCAACTAGAGACTTTTGGTTTCCCTTTCTCAGAAACTCAAATAGCTTTTATACTTCTTTTTTTTTTAAACTGGCACATCTCTCTTTGGTAAGTAAGGAGATACCCCATAAAACTGTAATTTAGGTCCCAATGGTTGTACAGAACATGTCACTTGGTGACACGCCTCAAGTACTAGCTGACCACACTACAGAGGGTGCTGGCCTGGTCCTATAGAAGGAAGCAATCATAGCTTCTATTGTTTTAAACAAAACAGGAAGAACAGGACCAGGACTCTCCTATACACAGTGTGTAGGAACAGCTGTCTGGGAAGCGGTGTGTCCCTCCACTCACACTGCCTTTTGCTCTGAGGAATGCCAGTTCTGGAGTACATTTCCATCTACGATGACATAGCTAAACCTCATTTTACCAACAAAACTCCAGGCTGAGACTCTCTAGCCTTGCCAGGACCCAATGAGAGCTCTCAGACTTTGAAATTTACTATTTCTCCCTCTTTTAAGATGCCTTTTCTAAACACTTTCTTATAAAATGCATTTGGAAACTAGACCTTTGCTACCACTGTCTCTGGATTTTTTTTTTAATCAGTTCCAACTTCTCAGGCTGTCCTGCCCAGGATGCAGGACCCCTGGCCCACCTCCCAAGGCACCTGTGCCTCCACTCAGGATGTCTTGCTCTGACTGGCTCCCCTTCCAGACTGCCTTTTCTGGCCTTTCTGGGGTTCCCTGTTGGTGCCACAGGGCACTTCCTTAAAACCAGTACTGTAGCAGAAAACTGAGGGTCCCAGTTCTGGTCCCACCACCTTCCAAGTGTTTGCCATGTGGCAGGCTTTGTTCTGGCTCAGTTTCCAATTGGAAAGTGGAATTCTAGAGATCCAGATGAACATATCCATCTCAGGAGGCACGGAGGGAAAAAGATGTATGTATTGAAGTTTTTTTTTTTTTTAATGTGACTTTTTTTAAATCAATGTTCAAACTAATAAATATTTTTTTATGAAGAAGAAAAATGTGTAGATTACATTTCACATTTTGTATTTTTTTTTTGAATGTGTGTGTGTCTGTATTCTGGTGTTTGTAACACCAAAGTGGAAAATATAGCCCGTGGCGTGGGTGCTGTGAAGTTGAGATGAGAAAGCGATATGACCTGGGTGTGGGTCTCTGGATCCCAACCAGTTTGTGTATTTAGACTCTGAGTTTTGGGGACCAGGACACTGCGAGGACGGGGACCTGACCCAAAAGACACAGCTATGCTTCCAATTTTGCACATCTTCCTTTAAAAACAGGCAACAGAACAAAACCTGAGAAAATGCAAAACTGGAACTTTTTGCAATATTATGAAAGATAATCTTACTTTGGCTCATTCTATGACATGTACAACTCCTAAGAAAGCCATACTTAATGGTGGTGTTATTTTTTAGATCCTATTGTGATTTGTATGTGGCTCTTTTAGAATCATTTGTAGTGAGGGTGCTGTGTGTGCTTTTCTTAAATATTTATTTTTTTCAACATGCTTTCAGTCTGTCAACAAAAAGGAAAAAAAAGGCAGTGTTTGAAGATTGTTGATTTTTTTTCTGGGGATAATCTATATTATATTGACTTTATATTAATTATTATAAAACTGTGTTTGTACTGAAGATGTGTTCAATATTTGTGGGAGGTTTGTCATAATCACTTGGTGGGGTTCACTTCTCTGTTGTCCTGCTCTCTATAGCCACAGACAGGTAAGGATTACCTTCTCTAGTGGTTCTTGCGATTTGTCTGCCTAGGTGTGCTCCAGGTTGCCTGTGGGTTTCCTTTCTGTGACGGGATTTAGTGTAGACATTCTTGCAAAATGGTCACTTTAAATAAAATGGGAAATTGCTGCTCCATGCAGATGCCTCCTGTGTGGTTTGAATACAGTACCTTCCTTGCTTGGCTCTCACGTTGGGTGGAAGCAGCTGCCAACTCTTTTGCTTATCATTCAATCTCCACAATTTTTAATTTTTCTCCTCCACTCCTATGACCTGAGCTTCATTAACATGACAAAATGTCAGCCCCCCCCCCACTCCTGGGACTACTACCTTAAATGTGGGCATGAGACTCCTCTCCTTGACCCCTCTCGAAGTGCATCTTAAACAGGTTCTCACAGGGTCCACTGACATCTTTCACTAGCAGGTAAGTGACAGACAGGGAGGCAAAGTGCCCCTGAAGCCAAAGGACAACAAGCAGTTTGGCTTTAGTGCAAAAAGGCTAGTTTCTTCCAAGGCACTTTGAGCATTCAGTCACCCCTCCACCTCCAGGAGTCACATCCCACCACAGGTTTGCTGTAGCTTCAGGCTAGGAGTGAGAAGAAGGCCAAGCAGTAGCCATCACACATTGGCTCAGTCCAGGAACTGCTAGCAGGCTCTCTTCCAGCAGCAAGCTGAGCACCACAGGTCCCATGCCATACACTTTCTTTCCGGCACTTTTGGCACCAACCCAGGGCTTTCTAGAGGGGACATGCAGGAGGCATGAAGAATTGTCAGCTGAGACCTTTACCACCTCACTTGGCTGATAGGCGTGATCACCGTGGCATGCCTGTGGAACAGCTGAACAGCTGGGCTTGGGAGGTAGAGACGAAGTTAAGGGCTGTAACAGATTGGGAAGAGCTGGGGGCTCCAGCAACTCTGGGAGCTCCACATGAGGAGAGGTAAGTGGCACAGAGACGATAGGAGACACTGGGATCAGACTGCATCAAGCAGCATGCTCATGCCAACATCAAGCTCCGTGTAATTGAAGTCCTTGCCATCACTCTGCTCTGGCTCTGCCTGCCTCTTGCTAGGAACAGAAGTGACACAATAATAGACATTGTGGCCACAGATAGACACTGGGGTCAAATCTCAGAAGACTCTGGAGAGAAACAGAACAGGGGTTGTGGCTCATTCCAGAGCTGTCTGGCTACTTGGGGCCACAGGCCAGGGCCTACATACCAGCCCTGCCTGCCAAACTTGGGGCTAACCTAAGGTGTATATAGTTTGAGGGGCTGGGTAATAAGTGGTAAAGATCTCAGCTGACTCCCAGTCTCACCGTACCCCAGGTGCACCAAGTGGATATGTCTCTGCATCCTAGACACTGCATAGCACCTTCCCACAGCTCTTCCATAGGCACTGGAACAGGATCTAAAGAGAGCTCTGAGGTGATAGGGGCCAAGGTCAACAGTGGCCACCCTGTCCTGCCCAACCCTAGAGGGGATTTTCCCAGTGTGGCCTCCCCAAACAGAAAGTGGGCTGGCTTAGGGGATAGTGGGGATGGTGGAGAAGACTGACTGCTGATCAGGTCCTAGCCCCAGTCTCCACTGTTGCTGCTACTGCTGTAGCTGCCTGGAGGATGAACTACGGCTTCCTTCCAGGGCTCCAAGCCAGACTCTGCAGGGAAACTCCACGCAGGAGCTCAGAAGGCTCAAGCTGCTTTGCAGAAATTGCTGCCTGCTGGCTCCCTCCAAGTCTCTGATTATGAGTTGCCACCTGTTCAGGTGAGCCTTGAGGAATAGGGGGATCGTAGAGATGAGGCTGCCCACCATACACGTGCAGGCCTGGACATGTGTGTGGACATCAGGCAGAAGGCCTGGTTCCACCAGCCCAGGTTGCAGAGCTAAAAATTCAGGAATCACAGAACAGGACAGGGGTCCATAAAGGCCTAAGTTCTCCACAGCACATGCTTCCTTCCATAATGGCTCCTTCAGACTCTGGTGCTGAGCAGAGTTCTGAAGGACCACTTAATAGGTGAGGACAGCAATGGCTCAGCCCTCCCAGCCAACACAGTTGTGGGCCAAGCACCAGACCTAGGAGTGTGGAACAGCAAGGCTTTGGCAGCAGTTGAGGAGACTGGGCTCAAAGCACAAGCAGATCCCCAGGGAGTTGAATAGTCAGCCCCTGCTGCATAGCCAGTCAGCAGTATAGGGTTGGCAAGTGTTGAGGTGGAGGCTAGGGCCCCAGAGATTCCTAGATAGTCAGGTTGAGACTCCTTTTCCACAGAGGCTTCTAAGACTGACATCTGTGCTGGCATCTTCCACTTCAGCACACATTGGGTCACACATATACATACACACTTGGGGTATCAAAGCCTCACCTCTTTACTGGCATTGGGATGTGGACAGGAGGCATTAGGAGCTGTGCTGAGGCTCCAGCCTTGGTTTCCAAAGCTCCTGGGTTCATAGTCTGAGGTTCCTGCAGCTCTGAGAACTCCAAGCCCACTAGGATACCACCTATAGAAGGGTCCTGAAATGGGGGTAGGAATCGGGGGAGGGGAGAGTTTGCCTGGGGAGGCCAGACTCTACCTCAAATCTGTTTGGTGCCCAAATCCCACACCAGATGCAGCTGGTGTGGACTGCAAAGACCCACCTCAACTCTGCCTTGACAGGAAGCATCTCCTGGCCTCTCAGCTTAGCCTGGCTTGACCCACAGATACACACTGACACACAGCATAGTCCAATGCACACCCCCAGTTATCACAACCTCAGGGCCCAAAGTCTGCACAGATCGGATGCCATTTTCACAAAGAAACTTTGGCAGTGCCCCTGCCCACCAGTATCTGCAGTGATGTGGGTACAGTAACCAGTGTAGCCTATTGACCCAGGTCCTCTGCACTCAGAATCTGGGGAGGCTACAGATGCTAGGTCCTAACCCTCAAGAGTGAGGCGGGTGAGGTTCACAGACCAGACTGGCTAGAGGGTGGGGTGGCTCAGCTTCCATGGCCTATGCCGCAGAACTGACACCAGACTCTCTCGACTCGGTCACAGGTTGGAGCAAAGCAAGTAAGGTGACCCCTGCCCAGGATCTGCCCCCAGCTCTGGCCCCCCTCCAGCTGCCTGACTGGCCATATCCCCTATCCTGCTTTCTTCTGGTGTCTGTCCATTGCCCCTCCCCCACAGCAACACCTCGAGTAGCCCATGCCTCACTGTCAGTGACCTCCAATTGCAGGATGCTCCAGGTCAGACTAGTGGGGGCCCTGGGGGCTGGCTCAACTCCTGCAGACCCCACAGCCCAAGAGGGCTGGTTTTCCCAGGGAACTGGGGTGCCTGCAAAGCTACCAGAGCTTAGAAAGGGTAGGACCTTGGCTGGCCTCCTGCAAGCAGGTTATTCTTTAACTCAGGACTGCCAACAGCCACCTACTTATGTAACTTCAAGAGCTGGTGACGGAAGTTTCAGGAGGATCTGATGATTCAGACCCCACTCTTCTCACTGGCCATGTTGTTCCAGACCTTCAGGCCTAGAAAACCACCATGGTAAAAGGCTTGTCTTCCCTCTTGCCTCAGAATTCTGAGTCTAATAACCAGGTCATGGCCTCAGAGGCCAAGGATCAGAATCAAAGACTAGAAGGGGACATCTCTAACCCTTTCAGAAAACTCCCATTCCAACCTTCCCAGCTTTAACCCCCCCCCCAAAAAAGCAACTGAGAGCCAACCTTGTTAAACAGATATTTAATTAGGCCACAAGGACTGGACCTGAGATTTGTGCTGTCAGCTGTGGAGGTGGAAAGACACAAAAGGATCTGCAATCAAACCATCCTGAAGCAGAAGCATACAGGATGTAAGGGCTCAGCTGCTCAGGGGCCCATCTCCTTGATGCTTTCATAGACATTTTCTAAGGGCCCTTGCTTCATATCCTGGCCCCTGAGATTGATAGCCTCATATTCCACATCACTCCCAAGGGCCAGAATTGTCCTCCCATCCTGGAGGTTCAGCTGGTCTGTGACAGGTCTTGGGTCTCTTCTTTTAGGCTTGTAGACCCTAGAGTACAAGACGTCCATCTAGAGAGAAGAGGCAAACCCAAGGAGGGCTTGGCATTTGTCCTCTGTGAAGGATGGGCTCAGTCCCATCTACCCTGCCCTACCCAGGCTGACATTACCTGAGTAGCTGGGATCACCTTAGCCTTCTGCTGCAATTCTTGGCAGCCCTGCTCTGTCCCTTTGTGCTTCTGGATGCAGGCATACTCGGCCCTAGGACCAAGCCTGGCGCAGCTAAAGGTTAGCTGCGTTCCAGCCCACACCACAGGGCTAGCAGCCAGGCTGGCCCTGGGAATTGCAGCCAGCCCCACATTGGAGTAAGTGGCCTCAGGGCTAGTAGAAGGTTCTGTTGCAGGGGCAGCAGGAGGGGCCCTGGGCAGTTGCCGTGGTGGGAAGGCAGAGTTGGGTACCTGAGACTTTGTGCTGCCCCTGGGCATCTCTAGCCATCGTGGATGCAGGAGATCCATGCTAGCAGGCCGTGGAGCTAGGGATGAAGTCAAGGCAGAAGTCACTGAGGGGCTAGCCCTAGTGGTGGGAAATAGAAGCCAGCCCTACACTTATGGTTTCCCAGGAGCTCACCTATGCTGGACCGTGGGTCTCGGTGCAGCTCATGCAGCCTGGTGTCAGACTTGCTGAGGGAGCAGAGATGGGTCTGTCTCAGCAGTGGCTAGGGGGCAAGGAAGGCTGGTTGATTCTCTGCTGTCTTCATCCCAGCCCCAGGGACAGTCTGGCACTCACCATTTCCACTGGTGTCAAACTGCCCTGCAGCCCAGTTTGCTGCCTCTGAGCTCTTTTCCTGGGGGCAAGAGTGCTGTTAGTCTAGTAAACAGAGGAAGGTACAGAGGTGGTCAGATATTGGCCCAGGCTCAGTGTGGAAGCACATGTAGAGCTGTCATATGGACTTCTCTGTTGTGACTTCTGGCTCTGAGCAATGCAGGGTGAGGGCAGACAGAATCCCAGGCACATACCTGTGGCAGGCTGTGCACAGTGCCCAGAGCCAAAGGAGCAGGGAGAAGCAGCCCATGACCCAGAGAACTAGTGGGGCTGAAGGCACCGGTGGCCTCATCCTGTGAAGCAGGGAAGGGAGTCCTGGGGACAGAAGAGATGAGCACTGGGGGTTGGCTGCGAGAACAGTGTACACCTGCAGCCTACTTGCAGATCTTGCCCACTAGTGGGTTCCTTCTCCCTGGTTGACTCAGCACACCGGAAAACCCCAAGCCTTGCATTTTTGCCCTGCCTTAGGGGGACCCACCTTTCCCTCTTTAGCTAGGGTTCCTGGTAAGAAGTGCTCTGTCTACCCCGTTAGTTATCAGAAATGGAGATGAAAGAGTATGGCCAGGGCAGCTATGACCTCAACTGAACAGGGCTGTATCACTGTAGCTCAAGCCCATCACCTGGGGGAATCTCTGACATCACTCTGACTTTGAGCCACAGACCACAGACCTCACCTCCGGCCACCAATGCCCAGAGAGTGACCCCTGTGTCAGGCAATGTTCCTAGACTACTCACTACAGAAGCTAAGCAGTTGGTGTCAGTGAACAGGAGGAGCTGCTATGAGGGGCACTCCTACTCCTACTCCTCCCTTCCCAGGTTCCTGCCTTTCCGGGAGTTGCCCTTAGCAGAGTTGATTAGCGTCTCACCCAGGAGTTCAGGGTGAGTAAAATCAGGGTGAACAGCCTTCTGAGGTGAGGGCCTGTCTCTTCAGGCTTGGAATGTAGGCTTCTTACACTGAGAGTGGCCCAAGCTGACTGACCTAGCTACAGCCAAGTTATCAATGGCCTAACCAGGCAGGGACTAACCCTCCCAGACCCCAGGGCATGGAGAGGCTTGGGGACTGGTCCAGGATAGAGGATGGGGGAGCACTTACCAAGGCCACCGAGAGTTTGCTGCTTGGCCCTGTCTAGGACAGCCAGGAAGATCTTTGTGGGCTGCTGGTGACGCCTCATCTCACTTCCTGTGTTTCTCAGAGCACCTCCCAGCAGCCACACAGCTCTTGCACAGTTGCTCCTACAGTCTCTGCTCTCCTCACACCTCATCATGGTTATTTGCTATCACCAGGCAATTATCACAAAGACTAGCACAGTCCCCTCTACCCCAATGAGGCAGATACCCATTAATGAGGTGACCAAAGCAGGTCAACTGGATGGATTATCCGTGGCAGCCAAAAACCAGAAATGAACCCCAAACCCACTCGAGTCAGGCCTGCCTGCTTTTCTCACTGACAGTATTCCTAAGGTGTTTCCATTTTACATACCCTACCTGTTTGTGAATACTGGGACTGAAAAGCCACCCTAGGTTTTTACCCATGTGGTCAGAGAAGGGAGAAAAGGGAGAATGCTTTTCTCTTGGAATCTTGGACCCTAGACAGAGGCAGTGGCCTCATTTGGGACTCCCACTGCCCACCTGTCTATTGCCAGGACCTACACAGATCCCTTTGTCCCCAGAGATCCTGAAGCCAGCTGAGTCTCCACTGAGAGAATTGTGATGAAATCGCTTTAATGTCCTAAGGAGACACCCCAAGACACTGGTAGGTGGGCTTGGTGGGCAGATAAGTGTTCAAAATCAGCCCTGATGTCCCATCTCTACTCAGCAGTGTTCACACTCTAGGCTGACAAGGATAAATAAAGGACATCTTGGAAGGGGCTGGCTCCTCTTCCAGGTGCTGTTTAGGCATCAGGGTGACAGCTGTCTTTCTGCCAAGGCAGTTGGGAGCTGGGTCCCAGGGCTCTATCCACAATACAGGCAGGGCCGCTAGAACTCTGTCATCTTCCTGTGAGTGTCTGCCTTCCGCTGTTTCCTCTGTAGGTCGGCCTCCTGAGCACGTAGCTGACCCAGCTGCCTCTGGGCTCCTTCCAGCTTCTCCTGAAGATGGGCTGTCGCCATACCGTGCCTAGGGAGAGCCTGCTGGTCAGCATTGCCTCCTGGCTCCCCACTACCAAGCCCCCAGCTACTGTAGCCAATACCTGTCCTCCAGTATCTAGACCACCTCAGACTCAGCTGCTACTCAGGTCAGGTGACCTTTAGTAGGTATCCTCTGGGCATAGCCACCAGAGCCCATACTGCCTCAGCTGGATCCCACACATACCGGCCAGTGTTCCGGGTTAGGGCCTCCTGGATGCCCCGGATGTCCCGTTGGGTCCGCTCAATCTTTTCTTCAGTCTGGAAGAGTTGCAGGCTCAAAGCCTGCTTGGCACTCTTGCTGGCGTGATACATGTCTTTGTTCCTTCTCTCTGGGGTATCCACCCCAGCATCTGGGGTCCCAGGAACCTGGCTTTGCAGTTTTTCATTCAAAAAGTCAAACACATTTCGAGGGGGTGGGCGGCCCTCAGGTCTATTACCACTCCTCCGACATTTTGGAGGCCTTTTAGCTCCAGCCTGGCCTCGCTTTGTCTTCTTCTGCAGTATCTCTGCACACTGGTCCAGTGATTTCCCTCTAGGCAACACTACCGCATGGATGGGCTCCACCCGGCCTTCTGCGTGCCGGCCCAAACCTGGGAAAGACAGGGGCTGTGCTATCTGCTGGACTCCCAAGCTGTGTTGAGGCCTCCCTCTCATCTCAGGGCAGCAAGCACTCACCCTTGCCAAACTCATAGCCCATCTTGACGAGGAGTTTGGAGCCAATGCCCCGTGTGTGTACCTCCCAGCCAGCAAAGGCAGAACTGCAGGTCCCAGTGTCCACCGTGTTTGGTTCCACCACTGCAGGAGACAGAGGGTTCCAAGTCTTGGTTAGGCTCCAGCCAAGGCTACCCAAGAACTCAGCTCCGGTGTAGGGCCTGATCTCTTGGACTTGTGGTCCCCTTTAGTTCCCCAAGCATGCTGTGCACACTCCTGGCAACTGCCTTTAGAGATGGCTGTACTGTAACTAACTTCACTGCTTTAGCTTACTTACTATCTGCCACCATGGATAAGAGCCCCGAAACCACCAGTTCACATCATAGGTTCCCAGAAACATCTTTCTATCTTTACCCTAACCAACCCCTCAGGAAGACTATACATTACCTACTAGTTCATTTCCTGAAATCTCTATTTCACCTAGATACAGTTTCCATTTGCTAAATTCTCTTCTGCCCTACCCACCAAGCACCCAAGCTCTAAATCTGGGAAGCTATCTGAGAAGACACCGTTTCCTATACTCTACACTCAGTTACTTCCTGTGACTCCTTGGCAGGTCTACAACAGCATTCTCTTCTCTCCTACAGTGTGGTGCCACTTTGCTCCAGGGAATGCTGACTGTTGCATCCCATTGCTATGTGTACTTCCTAAAAGCAAAAGCTAGGCCTTGGGTCCTACCCAGTACATCACACACTCTCTGGTTTCTCAAGTCCTCACCAATCTGCTCTATTCCCTCTCCACCATGGCTTCTAGGCACTGATTTTTGCCATACCTCTGGCATAGCTGGAGTCACTTGCATCACCAGTGTCTGAATCAGATGACTCTGTAGCCTCAGTGCGCAGAGGAGGCAGGATGCTGTCCCCTTCCACCACAGCCTCCTTCAGCAGCAATGAGTCAAATTTAACAGTATAGTAGCCATTGTCCACATCTAGGGTGATAGAGACAAGCTGTAAGTCAGTAGTTTTTACAGGTTAGGCAACCAGTTAAGAACAAAGTGGGAAACAGGAAGGGAAGGGGCTTGGGACAAAGGCAGACCTGCTCCTCTTGGGCCCAGATGGAAGTCCCAGAGCCCAACCCAGAGGAGGTGGAGAATGGCTGTATGAAGAATAAAGAGGGTATTTCAAAAAGGGTCCCACACCAAGTAGGTGTGGGCAGTCTCACCAGTGATCCGTGCTGGGTGCCAAAGGCCATCCTGGTGCTTAGCCAAACATGCAGAGCCAGTCTGCAGTAAGCTTAAGTCTGGATCCTGGAAGGGACGTAGCTCATCCACAGATACCACCTGCCCATGGGAGAACCTATAGATACAACCACAGAAGACAGTGGCTTAGACATGGCCCACCAGGAGCAAGTAAGGCCAAGAGCACAAAGGCCATCACCAAGGCACTGCCTGTAATGGAGTGACATTCAAGAAGTCAAGACAGGTACACCAGCAAAAACACCTATTCTTTTATACCTATGCACTTATGTACATACCTTAGCACAAATACATATACTCTTACACACATGTGAATATATAGGTATTCTCATATTCTCTCATGCATATACATATGAATATATCCATATACACCTGCATATCCATATGTACAATCTCACACATGCATGCACATACTGTCATATAGGTATGCACACTAAATACACATGTATGCATACATATAAATACATAGAATATACCCATACATTAACATATACTCTCACAAGACACACACATGCATATACACTAAATACATAAATGCATAATGTACTCAAACACACATATATACTCTCAATACACACACACACACACACACACACACACACACACACACACACACACA